AGGGGCTTTCAATGGTTAAAGTGTTTGTTGCTTTCAATGCTTTGTTTTTTCGATTGTCTGCAAGTGTTATTTCTTATCCCTGATTTGTAGCCTTTTGTACTGGGTTGAGTTTGTCTCTTAGTGGAATAGTTGGTGGAAAAGTAAAGACTTTAGGAAGTAAAGGTTTTTTTTGTTGGAATAGGAAGTAAAGGCAATGGTCCCGTGCATGTTTTCACTACCAAAGGCTTTAGGAAGAATAGTGTCCTATATATTTGCATAAAGTATTCAATATGCATGGTTTGCATTTTTGTTCTTATAAGGTTATGCTAAAAATTTTCCACATGTTTGGCCACCCCAATTGCTTTATAATGCAGCATTTGATGACATTCCAGATGCATTTTTTGACGAGGTTTTAAATTATGAGCCATAGTTGACCCAAGGATATGTAGAACAAGTGCCTAATATAGGAACTGTAGAGGTTCCTGTAGAGCTAGCTAGGAATGTCATCAATGAAAAGGGTAATGAAGAAGAAAATGGTGAAGAAGAGAGTACTGAAGAAGACACTGATTGTAACATCCCGATCCAAATTTAAATCATTCGATAAATTGCTGCTAGTTGGGGATATTAATTGTGTTTTAACAGGTTGAGAATTTTTGGGAAAAGTCCAATTTATAGGGGAGACTTTGCCGAATTTTCAGCAAAGGCCATACCCTAAAAAACTTTGGTTTCCATTAGAAGGGCACATTGGTCAAGTGTGCTCGGCACCCGCCAAGTGTCGGACACACATAGGGTCCAGCGCAGATTTCAAAGTGGAATTTGGGTCGGGTCCTGTCAACTTGGTATAAGAGCATTAGGTTAAATTCATGTAGACTCGGCACCTTGTGTGCATCCTTGTTCTAGTAAATTGTTGACGTTTCTTCATGTTGTCTTGCCTTGTTGGCATGGCTGAGTAAAAGGCATCAAGACGTGTTTGAAAATTTTGTTGAGGTTTTCATGTGAAAATGTAGTATACATGTGGGAATAAACGGTTTGGGAGGAATTATAGTGTAGGTTTAATCTTGTCCGACCATTTGTCCACTTGAGCCAGCCCCTAAATTTTCAATGATTCAAATAGAATTGATTGCAAGATTGTCATGAAGATGGTTTGGAATGACTAGATTAAATTTTAGGAATATGTGCTGATGTGGATGTGAACTATGGACAGTTGTTATGCATATATCCAAATGAAATCAGGGGACAAAGATACCTCTGGTCACTAATCACTTCAAAGTGAATGTTATTAATATTGATGGTTACTTCATCCACTACAATGTTTCTAGTCCCTATAAAGATGGTCGTCCTCTTGGTGGCAAGGGTGTTGGAAGAAGAATAGTCGATAGGGTGCCTGAGACTTATCACTCTGAGTTAGGTGGAAAGGACTTTGCTTATGATAGGGAGAAGAGCCTCTTCACTGTTGGTTCCCTTCCACGAAACAAACTTGAATTTGCCGTTGTGCTTGAGGATATGCCATCGAACTGAAATGGTGGAAACACTATCCTGGATGGACATGGGAGTCCAAATGAGAGTGACCAGAAGAGATTAAGGAGCCCAAATCGGTCTAAAACATTCAATGTAGAGATTAGCTATAGTGCAAAAATTCCCATGAAAGTAAATGGGGATGCTCTGTGTAGTCAAAAGTCAGAGAATCCCCAAGAAGCTCTGAGAGTACTGGACACCCTATTAAGACAACATGCATCTAAGCAAGGGTTATATATATCTTTCCATTTAAATC